GTGTCGCGAGCTCAGAGCAGATGTGGTTACTCGCTCACGTGAGCACTAAACAGCGCTGAGAGATCCAGCGTGAAGCGCTTGAATTCAGCGATGAACACAAATGACTCTGTGATTTAAACTAGTTTAAAGCCAAACAGGAGAAACACTGTGTGCAACGAGACAGTCAGAAGGCTTTTCAATCTACACGTCACTATCATTTACCATGGGTTTACTGTAGTAACACTCACTGCACCATGGTATTGTGGAAGAAATGTGGGATATCCACGTTGAATTTTATTACAGGAGTAATGGTATATAATTATAGTATGTATTTGTGATTAAGCTATAGCATGTATGCATTTATTCTGTATATTTTTAGACTACTGTTTTTCATACAAATAGGCTACTTAAAAACCATATAGTTATATTTTTAACATGGTATTGAGGTGCTATATGAGTGGTTTTAACTGTGTTTATCATGATTTAAATGTATGCTACTATGGGAGACCAATGCTTAATAAAGAATTTTTTTTTTTAACTTGGTCAAAATAAATGTAACCGTATAAAACTGAGGTTGCTACAATTTTTACAGATGTTACTGATTTTGATAATCAACAAATATTTACCTCTGCATCCTAACTCAAGCTACTATCAAATGTGCATTTCTAAGAGACAAAAAAGTGATATTACTATTATTAATATTATCAGGCAACCCAAACCTGTTTCTTGATTTGAAACAATATCACTCATTAGAACATGCAGAAACTAAGCAATTATTTTTTCTATTTAGATATTTATTTTGTCAAGGAAAATTAATGGGTCTGGTTTCTACAACTTTCACTTTGGAGCAAAAATCTGTCTTTAAACTTGAAAGAAATAAAGATTTGACATTTATCGTGATAATTATCGATATCGACTGATATGAAAAAATTAACGTGATAATTTTTTTGGCCATATCGCCCAGCCCTATCCCAACCCCACCAGCCCAAAACCAGCAAACAGTGAGACCAGAAAGCGTCTTAGACCAGCTTAAACCTGCATTACATTATAAAGATTCACAGGCACAGCGGTTCAATCACCCAAATTTAGTACCAAACTTTATTTTTGGTTTTCGCCTAAATTAATTTCTAATTAATTCAAATTCGGTGTTTCTGTAAATATCTCATTTTGAATCATCCCTAGTTATGACTCGGTTCCTCCTTTAATGGAGAATTTTTCACCCGTTTTATCATCTGTCAGGTGAATATGGTAAGCGTGATTGCTTAGGAAAGCAATAGCATTCCTCTCGTCAGTAAGCGATGTGATTTATCACTGAAAAACTACAGGCAGGGCTGAAAGCAAGAACTAGACATCGGCTCTGGGATCTGCCAAGCCTTTAGAGCCGCATACATACACCCTGTCACCATGAGCGGCCAATATGAAACCCTATAGTCCCTCTGGACGCTCCGGATAAACTTACTGACACTATCAGCTCTGCGTTTTACCGGCACGACATACATCCAATACCTAGGATTGGAAATTAAAATGATTTGCCTAATCACTGTGATCTGACAGTTAGGGTAATTTAAAATCACATGTTGCTAGACATTATGTTAGGGCACAAGTAAATGGTCTCAACAGAATATGAAGCATCAATTTTCACTGAGCCGCAACCCTACAGGACTAGGCCTAAGTGATTTCCAGTCCGGTTCAGACAGTAGAAGCAATCTCACATGGGAGACGAAGGAATCGAACACTGAGGAACCATAACAGATCCAGGCTGAGCGAGCGACTGACATCATCCCCCAAAATAACCAGCACTGGTCAGATCATTAGATCTGTCTAGCCTAAATGTGCTGCCCTACACTGCAGACACTTCATGACAATGTTGGTCTGAGCGCATTACTGCACGGTATGGATAAAGATTACTTAAAATGCCAACACAAATATGAACGCATCCATACATCTCAAACTCAGTGAATGAGTCTTGATGCAACAATATTTCTCAAATAAATATAATGAAGTGTTAATTTACTGGTGTTTGCATTTGCAAATACATTCTTCCTACCTTCTGAAAAACCCCCCAGCATAAACTGGTTTTCTGGTCTTAGCCAGTGTTATTTTAGTATTGTTCATATACTATTATAGTATTTAATAATATTGTAGCATTTATTTTTAAGTTACGTTTTAGTAATTTTACTACGTGACTGTCATTTTTATTTTTTATAGTCATTTTATTGATTTTTTTCTTTCACTTTATTTTAATTTAGTACTTTAACCTAAACTTTTTATTAGTATTTTAATTCGTTTATTTTAGTATTTTTCATATACTATTATAGTATTTAATAATATTTTAGCATTTATTTTTAATTTATGTTTTAGTAATTTTGCTAGGTGACTGTCATTTTTATTTTATGTTTTTGTTAAGTCATTTTAGTTTGATTTTTAAATGTTTCTATTTAGCTTTATTTTAATTTAGTACTTTAACCTAAACTTTTTTAACTTTTAAGTAACTAAAATTATTTTAGTTAGTTGCTTAATTTTCATTTAAGATCTTTTTTTTTTTTTTTTTTTTAGTTTTCCCATCTAACATTTATATTTTACTTCAAATAAAAAAAATAAAAAAAAACTGTTTTAGTTTTAGATAACAATATCCAACACTGGTCTGGTTTAAGATGGTCTTAACTGGTTTAACCTGGCAGGTCTTTAGCTAGGCTAGCTGATTTCTCAACCAAACCAGCCTAAAAACCCTCTAAAACCAGCCAACAGACCTGACTAAGAACAGTTAAAGGGTTAGTTCACCCAAAAATGAAAATTAGGCTGCGTTTCACTCACCCCCGAGGCATCCTAGGTGTATATGACATTCTTCTTTCAGACGAATCCAGTCGGAGTTATATTAAAGACAATTTTTAATCTTTCAAGCTCTATCATGGCACTCAGTGGGTGTTGCATTGCTTCAGTCCAAAAGAAGTTAAATAAAAAGCGCCCATGCATAAAAAAAAAAAGTGTCTCACACGGCTCCGGGGGGTGAACAAAGGCCTCCTGTAGCGAATCAATGCGTTTTTGTAAGAAAAATATCCATATTCAAAACATAATAATTAGGGCTGCACGATAAATCGCATGCGATATTTAATGTGCATCTTGTCAGTAAAGCCGGTTCTGTAATCAGTGGTAAATCTCCATCACCTGTGGGCTTTCACATGGAGCAGCATTAACTACACAGAGCCGTTGTTCACCGACAAGCCACGATCATATTTTGCGCATCTTTTGTGCTGCTCGTCAGTGAACAACGGCTCTGTGATTTATCGTGCAGCCCTAATTATTATGTTTTGAATATGGATATTTTTCTTACAAAAACGCATTGATTCGCTACAGGAGGCCTTTGTTCACCCCCCCTGGAGCCGTGTGAGATACTTTTTTTATGGATGGGCGCTTTTTATTTAACTTCTTTTGGACTGATGCATGCAACACCCGCTGAGTGGCATTAAACAGCTTGAAAGATCAAAGACAATTTTTAATAAAACTCCGACTGGATTCGTCTGAAAGAAGAAAGTCATATACACCTAGGATGCCTCGGGGGTGAGTGAAACGCAGCCTAATTTTCATTTTTGGGTGAACTACCCCTTTAAGACCAGAAAGCATCTTAAACCTGTTTTTCAGCAGGTTCTGGTTCATATTTAAGATTCACAGTCACAGACATATAAGCATACAGTTACATAATGTCAATTTAGTGCACTCTTCACAGTGAAAAGAGCCTGTAAATACAGATTAATCGACTATTGATAAAAATGTAATTGCATAATATTACCTACCTACTGAAGCCATAAACAGTCCATATGGCTTCAGAAGAACATACTTTCATTTTGTATACAAATCTACTACAGGTGCAATAAAGTATCAAACTTTTGTACTTAAGCGACCTTAACTTGATTGCACTGCGTTGGAACGGATTATTAAACTTCCGCACTGCTCTTCATCGTGCAGAAATTACTAATCCTACTATGCCGAGGCATCTTAATATTCATAAGCGGAGCCCTTGCTATTGGCGCGCTACCAAGAGACGTAAGCGGAAACTAATTAGTATTCAGCAAATGGTGCTTCGCCATTGGAGCAAACTCGGGATGGACTACTTAATATTCATGAGCTCGTCTGTGTCATAGTAGGAATCTGCAGTTGCTCGTCCGGTACTTTGGGGCGTCACCCGAGCTTATACACAGAGGCTCGCAACTGTCACATGCATGCCGCTGAAACCTAACAAACCGGACAACACACAACATGTTTACCTTCAGCGTTAGACGTGAAACCTGTCCCGGTAACGGCAAGCAGCACGGGTCAGTCTGCTCGACTGCTGGAGTCTGACTCCGTGCTCGGATGCTTGAACGGGTGGAGCAAAATAATCTAATTAAATAAATACGATACGATTTCGTATTTCTATTTCTATTTTCATCAAATAATTGAAAATAAGCCGCTGATTATTAAGAGCACCGAATAGTAACGTTACTGGAGTCCACACACATGTAAACAATCTCCATGCAATTATAAAAACGCTCCAATAATCGCCACACATTTCAGCTGACGTTAACTGTGTGTGTGTGAATTAGTACTAATATGTGTTTTAGGTAAACAATGCTTGCTGCTATGAGTCGGTCCACTTAGTCTCCTTACAATATTACACTGCAATCTAACGAGTTATGCTTAAAATAACACACAAATAATTGTCACTTCACCTCTGCTTCCCCGGATACTGGTTCAACTGTAAAGTTACGAAGCTACGAGAATACTCTTTAGTTTTCTTTGCGCAAAAAAGTATTCTCGTAGCTTCGTAACGTTACAGTTTACAGTTACAGTTACAACTGCGGTCGGGGGGGCGGAGTCAAAAGTAAAAATGTTTATATTATATTATTTCATTTTATTTTTATATTAATTTAAACAATTAATATCAAACTATTATATTAATTTAGTAACATAAATATATCTTAGTGTAGGCTATATCTTTAGAGCTTTATCATTCATTATCTTCTTGTCGATCCAGCAGTTCACATTTACAACTGCGGGTTTTCTGCGTAAAAATAAGGGTCGTTTTTGGCTTTGGTCTAAACAAAGAGCAGAAGGGCTTATTGAAAAATGCAAATTCATTCTCTGCCAGCAGGTGGCGCTTTTCGCCAGGAATATAGCCGTTTCCCCGGTAACCGCAGTAAACGTCAGGGGAAGTCGTGGCCTAATGGTTAGAGAGTCGGACTCATAACCCAAAAGGTTGCAGGTTCGAGTCTCGTACCGGCAGGGATTGTAGGTGGGGGGAGTGAATGTACAGCGCTCTCTCCCACCTTCAATACCACGACTGAGGTGCCCTTGAGCAAGGCACCGAACCCCCAACTGCTCCCCGGGTGCCGCAGCATAAATGGCTGCCCACTGCTCCGGGTGTGTGTTCACGGTTTGTGTGTGTTCACTGCTGTGTGTGTGCACTTTGGATGGGTAAATGCAGAGCACTAATTCCGAGTATGGGTCACCATACTTGGCCACATGTCACTTCACTCACTTCACTTAAACAAAGCAGCGCAGCACCTGACTTTGAAACTTGCAGCGCTCATATTTAATCAATTAAAAAGCCTTTTGAAGTGCAAGCTATATCTCATTATGCATGTAAATATTTACATGTATATTTATTTTTTTTCACTGGAGCACCTGAGTCTTCTCCTCCCATTTCTACCAGTGATCACTGTTTCCTTCCCGCGGTACTACTTGCGCAGATAGATGCGTTTTATACTAGATCTGGCAACTGGACAACCTTGGAATTTGTTGTCGTGATTATTCATATAATGAGGTTTGGCCCGTACAAATTACGGGAGTTTTACCGGAAGCGAATGTAGCAAACATATAAAATACGCCAAGTGGGATTTTTTTTTTAATAAAAAGTAAAAAAATACGGGAGAAATACGGGAAAATATTTAAACGGGATGATAATAGAATGGTAAAATACGGGAGAATCCCAGGAAAAGCGGGAGGGTTGACAGGTATGGCCTAAAGTAATGTGAAGGTTAGGCAAGTAGTCTGGTGACGTAGGCCTGTGCGCAACTGCTCCTCCAAGTCCAGCGTCGTTTCTCAATACCAAGTATGCACATTTCGGACTTGGTCATTTTGCAAATTGGCGTCGTCGGTAGTTCGGACTTCGCAAGTTCGACTCGGGATTGTGAACTCCCGCGGACGGGACGGCGCAAGTCCATACTTCATAACATCAGTCAGCTCGCTTTGGCTACTCTGTATTTACAATAAGACGAAATATGATATCAAACACCACTGCCTCTTTTCGTTTAATTTGAACATATTAATAGAATAAAGACCAAAGATTACCTGTTAGATTCACCTAAAATGAATTATATCTCATGTTTAACCAGTACAGAGACATCAGAGCCAGCAGCAAATGTCAGAAGGACTAGCCGAGTTGAGGCTGCTCTCATCGGGATACACGAGCACTGAGCGCCCGCTGATCGCCTGGAGCTCACATCTCCGAAACTTTCAAATAGGCGCTGTCTTTATAAATAAACTGCAGATTTGAGTTTTAAACAACTACATTCTCTCCTGAAATATTCTTAAAACTACATTTCATGACACAATAACAGTATTTTGAAAATTATGTTTATAAATGGTGGTTGAAATACAATGCTGTGAACTCAACCAATCAGCATGCTCAGCGCCCAAGTCCCGCCCCCGAAAGTTCCTGACCTTTGAAAAAGTACTACCTCGTGAGCAGGGACTTTCTGAGAGTTTCCAGTCGTGAAAATTCCCGGAATTTTGCAACCCTCTGTCTATAGTATTATATCTCAATGCAGATTTGAGTTTTAAACAACTACATTCTCGCCTGAAATACTTTTAAAACTACACTTCATGACACAATAACAGTAATATTTTCAAAATTATGCGAATATATGGTGGTTGAAATACAATGCTGCGTGAACTCAACCAATCAGCATGCTCAGCGCCCAAGTCCCGCCCCCGAAAGTTCCTGACCTTTGAAAAAGTACTACCTCGTGAGCCGGGACTTTCTGAGAGTTTCCAGTCGTGAAAATTCCCGGAATTTTGCAACCCTCTGTCTATAGTATTATATCTCAATGCATGTTTATCTTCTGTGAAATGTATGGGTTCTGTATTCTTTTATAAATTCTATTTGTTTGGTTTTTGAGGATGAGGCCTTAAGCTGTTGGCGCCTGCCTACTTTGGCTTTTATTTGTACATTTTGTACAGGGACTTTCCGAGAGGCAAATTTTTACCAGGAACTTTATTTAGATCCTGCTTCCTGCGGTGGAAACACACCGAATACCAGCCCAAAGTCCCTAGTTCCTGGTGAAAGTTCCTGCGGTGGAAACAGGCTTTTTGATATCAAGATTAAAAAAACATGAACACCATTACAAAACAGCATAAATGTAAAATGTACAAATAAAAGCCAAAGTAGGCAGGCGCCAACAGCTTAAGGCCTCATCCTCAAGAACCAAACAAATAGAATTTATCACAGTTAGAAAATAATTCTATTTTGAATAAATGCTGTCCTTTCTAAGTTTTTATTCATCAATAAATCCTGAGAAAAAGCATCACAGATTCCAAAAAATATTTAAAATGTCATTTCTTAAAAATGTGTATTAGTTTGCATGCATGTCAGCTTATGATCAAACAAAATGTTTGTGTTTATGTTTGTATGAGAGACTATTTTTATATAAATAAATTTCCCCAAATTTCCAGTTAATTCCCGTAAATTCCTGTGAAGTTTCCAATTTGGAATATTTCCAAAATTCCCCAGACGAAGTTCCCATGGAAAGT